GCTGAAAAACATGTGGAAAATATATTCTGAAGGGCTAGGTTCCTTTATATGCAAAGAGCACTTGCAAGTAAATAAGAAGAAAATCTAAACAGTCCAAACCAAAATGTGCAGAGAACACGCACAAGAAGTGGCAGAACAAGAAATTCCCATAGCTGGTGAAAAGCTGTGCTCCATCTCTGAATAAAAGTTACTCAGAATTAATGTCAGACTTTTCTCATGGAGAAAGGACTTTACACTGAGATGTAATCTTACTCCTGGAGTGATTTATGGAAGTGAATGTGTTTATGAGTTGGCTGAAATAGCCCGTGTTCCCTCCTCCTTTTGTGGAGTGGTGATGACTGCGCTGGCAGCCCCCTGCGCCGCGAGATGGGGGGCTTGAGCCAGATAAACTCAGGGTCTTTTGAGCCTCCCACTTACTTGTTTCCTCCATTTGCTTGGTTTCCTCAGTCCTTCTGGCATTCTGTTAGAAAACAGTGCCGTCTTTGTAAAGATTTATCAAGTAAACACTGGTGATGCATCACTTTCTACGTGCCGGCTATAGTTTTGAGCACCTTATGATATCAAGTTATGCTCCATTTAAAACGGTGAAGCGTTTACCCGATCTGGAAGAGACGGGAGCTAAGACCCGAGGGAGGGCGACCTGAAGGGGCCGTTTCCTGAAGGAGGACGTGATTTTACTTCTGTGAGCAGCACGCTTGAGCTGCCTTCCTCACCTTAGGTACCCACGAGGCCACCTGTGAAAGGTTCTGAACTCGGGCTCCTCTGCACAGGCAGCCCAGGGCAAGTCCTCTAGCTCCACCGCCTTTCGGGGGGGACACGAGGCACTTGCCCGTGAACCCCTGGGGACGGAGCATTATTCTGCCCTCCTCGGGGCGGGGGGTGGGCAGGAGCTCCTTCCTGGGATGCTGACCCCCTCTCCCCTTGCCGACCTCAGAGGAGGATCACCAGGAATTAAATAGCCTAGCTGCCCTGTTGCCGGGTTACACCAACAACAAAACAAGGACCCTTGCTGGGCAGCGCAGCCTGGGGACTGGCCGGAACCGCAAGAATGTTGTTTCCTGCCGTCCTCCCCACGGAGCACCTCCCAGCGCTGCAGCGCTGGGCCAGCCCAGGCTTCCGCCTGTGTCCCAAGACAAGGCAGGCTGAAATGCAACATCTGATTCCCATCAGAGTCTGGGTCTGGGAGGAGACGCCCCCCTTCTGTGTGTTTTCAGCCCTCAGCCCCCCTCCTGGCCCTTGTGGAAGGCTGGGTGAGTCTCCACCCTCATCCCCGGGACTTTTCCCGTTGCACTTCCTCTGAAGTCCGCACAGCCCCCTACCTGCGTCCTCCTGCACCCTGACGGGGGAATCTTGTCACTCAGTTGTTCAGCAGGTACTTAGCGATCACCCCCAGGTGCCAGCCCCCTGACACACAGCCCCCTGAGGGTCAGAGATCCACCGCACGTCAGGGGGACAGGCATCCCCTGGGATGGGGGCACGAAGAGGGTGCACGCAGGCTGCGGGGGCGGGCGGGGGCCCACTCTAGGAGGAGCGGTGCTGGACCCCGCTCTCCCGGAGGCCACATGTGGACCCCTGCCAAGTGCCGGGGAGGGCCGGGCAGGAGCAGGTGCAGGGCCCAGAAGCAGACACAAGCACAGCAAGTCCCCAGGACGGCTGCCCACTGGGAGCGGCTGTGTCTCGGGGCCCGGGGCCAGAGGCAGCGGCTGGAGAGTCTGGTCCTGCCAAGGCGCTGGGCTTCAGCCCACCTGAGGCTGTGGCCCGACATCAGTGAAGTCTGTTCACGGGACCATCTGATGGATTTGCAGTTTTGAAAGATCCCCACAGTGAGCACGCGGGTGATGGTTGGAGCCTGGAGGGCCAGGTAGTGGCCGTTGCAGAAGTCTGTGCGACAGGTGACAAGGGCCTGACCAGGGAGAGTGAGCGGACTTCATCACTTAGCACTGAGAGGAGACGGGGGGCCTTCTACGATGCCTCTGTGGTTCCTGGCCTGGGAGGCAGCAGGTTTACAGGAAGAGCAGAAGGGCAGTCAGTATAAACAGAGCAGCTGTATTTTCAAAGCCCACGGCTGTTGACGTAGCGATGAGCCTCTGCGGCTGGCACCACACCCCGCGCAGCTAACCCTGCTGGAGGTCGTCACCCATCCCGGTCCTGGCCCGTGCCGCTTTCTCTCCCCACCACCCAGCTCTGCAGCCTGGTGCTGACTCCGGTCTCTTCCTGTGGTCCCTTGACGTCAGTATCTTCTCCCGTGGTCTCCAGGGTGATTTCGGGGAGTCCTGACTTCCTGTCGGGAGCTTGATCTACAAAGTCTGAAAATAATCTTTCCCATCAAAATTGACTGGCTGTGTGTTTGTGCCTCGGCTTGGGTGAACTCGTTTCAGTTTACCTGTTTTAAGGCCTCACACAGTGCCCAGCCTACGGCAGACGCTTGGTAAATATTTATGGGAAGAAACGGACAGAAGTCACTGATGCCAGGGTGTCCTGTGGTCACGATGACAGAAGGCCAGTCAGCAACGGTGGCCTTCCACCGTCACCAGGCTGTGCATGGCCTCTTCTGAGACACAGCTGGAGGGGTTCCCAAGGTCACCCGATGGTCACATGTCTGCCAGATGCTCCAAGGAAGCCCATGCTCCCCTTTCTGGGGGCCTTCTTTCAGATCGTAGCTGTACCATTTGTTCCAACAATTTTCTGACACCAGCCGGGTGTCCTGCAGTTCCACCTGTTTCTGACGGTCACTACCCAGAGTGAGCGCAGACCCCTCCGAATGGAGAACTCAGTGCCACAAGACTGCCCCCACTCCAGGCGCCAGCTCAGGTCTGGGGTGTCCCCAAGTTACCCACACTCCTGCCCAACAGACTGCAGATCTCGGGGGCATGGTCCCCTGGCCCACCCCCACCAGGGTCAGTAACTCACTGGAGCAGACTCACAGAACTCAAGGACACACTAGACTTAACGACTGGTTTCCCTGCAAAGGATACAGGTTAGGAGCTGGCCAACGGAAGGGCACACAGGACGAGGTCCAGGGGTGGGTTGCGAGCTGCTCCCCTGCCCCCTCCCGGGACTCCGCCCTCCCAGCCTTGGGGTCTCGGCAGCTTCCTTGGTTGACAAGTGTGCCCTCCCCGCTCAGAGATTAGCAGACATGGCCTTCTTATCTGCCCCACCTTTGGGCCAGACTGAGCCCAGAAGAGCCCTTTCCTGGAATATTTCAGTGTACAGTTCATCCCACAAAAAACTGAAGACTTTTTTAAATAACCGAGAGGCCTGGGGCTGGTCTGTTAGAAACAAGAAGGAGGGTAAATTCTGGGGTAATTTCTTCCCCGTGTGTGTCTGGTGAGAAAGACAACATGCATGCAGATTCTGCACGGACTCCACTCAGGAGGCTGCTTCTCTGGTGGAGGTGCTGGGCCCACATCTCCAGTGCGGTGGGGGGGCCCCTTCCCCCCAGTGCCTGAAAATTCCTCCTCTCTTGTGATTTGGGGGCTGGAAAGAATTTAAAAGTCAGGTAGAATTTTCCCAGTAACTTTATAAACTGGTTGAAACCACTGATGAGGCATGTTGGGGGGGCGAGGGAAGGGACTGGGGTGGGGGTCTACCCTGTCTCCCAGTGCTGCTTTCCCCCCGTCTGCCCTCCTCTCTCACCCGCAGCACCGGAGGACCCCCCAACCCTTCTCTTCACTCTCCTCTTTAGGCCCCTTTGTGCACCATTTTCCCCTAGAATGTGGAGCTGAGCCTGTCACTGTCCCTCCATGGCCACGAGGTGCCCTCCTGGTCCCCTGCCCAGATACCACATCCTTCATTGTCAATCCTCTGTTGTCAATCCACCCAAGGTAGTGCTGGATGAGGAGTGGACCTGGGCAGTGCTGGGTGCGGGGTGGACCTGGGCAGTGCTGGGCGGGGTGGACCTGGGCAGTGCTGGGTGCGGAGTGGACCTGGGCAGTGCTGGGTGCGGGGTGGACCTGGGCAGTGCTGGGCACGGAGTGGACCCGGATAGTGCTGGGCGCGGAGTGGACTTTCAGCAGTACCTGGGGTGGGGAGATGGGAGGATGGGGGCCTTTGTCAGGCCTTTGCATCACAGGCCCTCATCCCATTTTTGCTGCTTCTCGAGGCCACACTTCGGTGACCTCCTCCATGGCGCCCACCTGGGTTCTGTTGGTAGAGCATCACTTTCTGCCCCTCAGCTCTTGAAGCACTTTGTTGTCCACGTAACGCACATGCTACAGTGCTTTGGCTTCCCGTGACCGTGGACGTGCGTGTCTTCGCTCTCAAGGGCAGGATCCAGAAGGCAAGGACTAGGGATTTCTCTGCACCTACGAGAGGGGCTGGCAGACTGCAGCGCTCTCTGAACAGTTGTTAAATAAATGAATGAGCTGCCAGAGGATAGGCACTGTGTCTTTTTTTAATCTTTGGATCCACCACAGTATCTTCAGATTAAAAGTAGATTGGTAAATGTCTGTTTAGATTATTCATCTGTATAGAGTTCGTGTCCTAAAAGCCTGTTGGAGGTGAAAGTCCAGGTAAGCCGCTGCAGCCGTAAGCGTGTCATTTCCTAACTTCCAGATCAGGTCACGTGTTTCCTCTGATTTGTGAGACTCTCACAGAAGCACGTTTGCACGCGTGTGCACATACACGTGTGATTTTTAAAAAACATTGTCATTGTCATGGGGAAAAATTTTGCAGTCAGCCCGAACACCAGAAGCGGGGCTGGGTCCCTCCTTGCTCGCTCAGGATGCCTCTTCCTGCTGTTCTGGAATTCCTTCCTTCAGCAGGACCGTGGGCTGTGTTCCATGCTTGCACGTCTTGTCTCCGTGGGGCCAGAGACCACGTTTTAAACTTTATGAAGGCTCAGCCACCCGAGGCTATTAATACGTGGCTGAGCAGCCGAGTCGTTGTTCTGCAGGAACACGAGGGAGCTGATTCTACATGAGCCTCTTCTTCAGCCTGTTGGGTTATTTATTCTTTACAGACAAGCACTCATCTCTGTCTGGGTCTGACCTGTTTTCCAGGGAGGTTCCCCTGAAGGACGCTAGGGAGTACGCAGAGTCCATCGGAGCCGTCGTGGTTGAAACAAGCGCCAAAAACGCTATCAACGTCGAGGAGCTCTTCCAGGGGATCAGTGAGTACCCGATCTGCGCTTTCAGCCCAGCTTGCATGTTCACGCCTCGTGGAGTCAGAGGAGAGGAGAGCTTTTCCAGTGTGAACTTGCTGGATGCCTCCCAGTTCTGTCCCCGCCATCCTGTGCTTTAACGTGCTGGGTCTGTGTTCTGTGAATCAAGAGGAAGTAACCCCACTGAAAAAAAAATTATTTTAATCAAAGAATGATGTTCCCTGTAGCATTTTACATTAGTATGTAGAGGGGAGGAGACATAAAATAGAGTGATAAGGTGTGGAAAACCAAAGTCACCCCTTAAACCGAATGACTCTAGGCAAACAAAACAAGAGAAGCTTTGAGTAATTTCTTTCACCTGGTGACGTCAACAGGCGGTCGTGTCTGTGTCCCACATGCCTTGAGACTGGGAACTGGGTGGAGAGTCGGCGTGTAAAGGTTTTCCTCATTTCTGGTCGGTTATTAACAGGAGGTGCAGGCTTCCCTCTTCGTCTCCAGTCCTGGGTCCTGTTTGCTTCCATTTCTTTATGTTGGTCCCACGAAGAAGCCTCATCTTGGGCTGTTTCCCAGCCGATGGCCATAGTGCACCTTCACAGCCTCTCTGGTAACGGCGCTGTGTCGTGGGTCCCCTCAGAGAGCGACCTGCCAGCAGCCGTCTTGGGACATCGTGTCTTTAGATGCCCACAGGGCACATGCTTAGTGAGGTGCCAGGACTCAAAGTCCTGGGCTTCCCATCCCAGGAAAAGTCAAACCCCAGAACAGTTGGCAGTTGCTGTCAAGTATCTTGTCTGCAGATGATTCCACAAGGGAATGCAGAGGGAAATGGGTGGCTGGATCTCCCTCTGGCCTGAAGTCATTGTCGGCGATGCTTTCCAGGCCAGAGGGGCCGTGGCTTCCCACAACAGATTCAGTTTCCTTTGGACTGGCTTGGTTTATTACTTCAGACACTGAGAACCCTCAGCAGGAAATGTTTCGCCTGAGTCTCGGCTGGAAGGAAAGTCAGCTGGAGATGGGCCCTGGGCTCCTCACCAGACCCAGAGAGGTGCAGAAGGCAGCCAGGTGTCTACAGCCCTGGCCCCGCTTGTCTCCTGGGGTCCTTGCCACCTTCCCCCCTTCCTCCTTCAGAAGAATGCATTTTCCTGCTGGTATTTCACACTCTCAACAGAATAGTGTTCTCCAGGCTCGTGGGCCTGAACGCTGGAGACCTCACACCCCCAGACTCCGGCTCCTTCCCATGGTTGCAGCGTGGGCGCCAGGCTCTGCTGTGTGTCTGGGTGACAGCTCACTGGGTTTGGCCTGAGCTCATTCCATTCACCTCACGTGTCCTTAGGCCAAACTCGGTCCTTTCTGGGGACGTTCAGCTTTTCTGGTACCTCGGGCTAGTTGTAGTAAACATCTCGTTTCCGTTAACGGTTTGACTTCGTGAAGCAGGGCAGCTCCTGATAGTGTGACCTTCACTCCTGTCCCACGTCCAGCTCCTGACAGTTTCCCGGGCCCTCTTCCCAGCCCTGGTGTGGCTCCGCGTACCAGAGATTCAGCTTGGCATTTCTGCACAAGCCAGGGGATTGTCTGAGGTTTATGCAAAGTCATTCTTTCAGTAAAAAAAAAAAATGACAGAAGGACCTCAAAGAAGAAAACGAGCCTAAGGCTGCAGACCCAGCTGGCAGTCAGCCTCCCCCACCCGCCCCAGGAGCCCCGGTGCCTCCGTGGGCCTCCTGTTCCTTCAGGTGGACGTCTTCAGAGCGGGCTGTGGGTGCCTGCTTGCAGGACCGAGCACTCCTGGCTACGTCGCAGCAGGCCCCCTCGTTTGCTTTTCTGTCCCCTCCCCAACTTGAGTTACGCCTGCTCCTCCCTGAGCTCAGAGCAGGACGAGCTGTCGCTGAGCCCCGCGCCCCCGCGGGGCAGGGCTGCTGAGACCACACGCTGGGAGAGAAGAGGCCACCGACAGCCAAGCGCAGGGACGGGGACGAAAAGCACGGCTTTGAAGAGCTGTGCTTGAGCAAAAGGAATTCCCGTCGACTCGGACCAAGAGACACATTTTCTCGTCACCTTTCCCGAGTGTTCAGAAGCCAGAAATGGGACGACTGTGATTTTGGAACGTGAGTTAGTGTCTTCCCTAACAGGAATGTTTAGCAGAATCCTGTCTGTTTCCAGGCCGAAGCTACCTCTGAAGGACGTAGGTGCTGCCTCTTCGGGGTGGTCTGGCCGCAGTCCTCAACTCAAACTCCCGCCCCTTGAGAAAACAAGTCTCTCCCTGAGGGCAAGAAGAGGTGGGGCTGCAGGCTCGCCAGGAAAAACGTCTGGACCGGGGCTGCGCTTCTGCTCCGCTCCCGTGCGCGCCGACCGTGCAGAAGGAGCGGGGTCCTGAAAGCCACATCTGGAGACACTGCACTAGGGGTTTTGTTTGTGTGCTGTGGGTCTGAGAACAAGGTGAGAAGTGATTGCTTTTTAAAAGGGAATGTAATTAGAGGTACAGGCATATGTGTTTGGAGAAATTAGAATAGGGTGTTAATGTGAAAGACAGGAAGCTAAGCCTTGTGGGCGGCAGTCACGTCTGTCTGTTGCCATCCGTCGCTGCGAAGAGTGTTGGAGTTTTGGAGTTTCCTCGGTAGTCATTTTTGGTTTGGAACAGGTTAAAAAGTTTG